CTTAGTGCATTAAGTAAAGTTGTTTGCAATGCAAAGTTCTACATAATATAAAATTTTAGTAAATTTTGAATAACTTTTTATTAATATACTTTTCTTTTATACGTTTCTGCACTAGTGATATAATTATAGCGCAAAATTGTACAAAATAAAAGTGCATTAATTAAAAGTTATCAAAAATTTACTAAAATTTTATATTATGTAGAAATTTGCATTGCGAACAACTTTACTTAATGCACTAAGATCGATTTACTTAGTAAAAAAGGTCAAATTTGCATGTTACTATGACTTCCTGCAAGAAGACAATTATAAAACTAGTCTCTTTATTTAAATGAAGATATCTCGTGATCCAGTAATCATAATCAGTGATTTTTATACCATTTGATTTGTCTCTATGAGACGAATCTAATGGTATAAAAATTATCTGATTCTGATCACTGAATCACAAATTATTGGCCATAAAATTTATGTGCGCCATAATACCCATACTATTTTCTATTATTTATTTATTTATTATTTTTTTTTATTTTTTTTAAAATAAATATATCTCGTAATCCAGTAATCATAGTCAGAGATTTTTATACCATTCGATTTGTCTCGATGAGACGAATCTAATGGTATAAAAATTATCTGATTCGGATTACTGGATCACAAATTATTGGCCGTAAAGCTTATGTGCGCCATAATACAACTTAAATTTGTAAAAATTGTGGCCTTAGTACTAAGTTATATCATGCGTGTACGCCAGATATATTTTAGAATACATTTACTAATGAAAATGTAAACCTAGAAATTATTTATAGCAATCTTAAATATTATAAATTTGGTCCTTGCATGTGGGCACATAAATAGGATATATCATGTTTTTGTAAAATCTAAATATGTGAAATGATGTATGATATATATATCTAATAAGCTTAAAATATACTTAGTGAACTAAATTAACAAAAATAACTAAATATTTTCTATTAACACAATAAATCAGATGTTGCGTTACGTAGTATACATTTTAATAGCACGCAATTATAGTTTTAGAATTTTTTTTTAAAGAATACGTACGTAGCGGTAGAGACTATTTACAATTGCTTTATAAATTCTGGGCAACGATTTAGCAAAGTCAGAAAACTGACAGGTCTTGTTTAACAAAATGGAACGAGTTGGATAAAAATAAATATTTAAGTGTGACAACACATTGAGAAAACTTGTTTGATCCAAATGCGTACATTTGTGCGGATTTATCTCCGTATATTTAAAAATATTAAAATATCGATATTATCTTCGTTTACAATATATTAATTACATGTAAAAAAAATGGCTTACCATTATATAATCTTAAAAAAACAATACGAACTTGAATTTCGTCATATTTTGTTAATTTATTATTTAAAACTGTTTTATGAATAAAATTTAAATCGTTTTACATAAAGAACATGTTTTCAAAATTCTTCTTAGCATTGTTAGCAATAATTTTTTTAAACATTACCACACTGTCATATCCAGTTCCGGTAAATATCTAGTTTTAAAATTGTATGTAAAGGATTTTTTAGGGAAATGCAAAGAATGTATGCTGAACTCTACTAACAACTTCATTTCTAAATTTATTAGCGAAAAAATGAATACAACAGCAATTTGAGAAGATTAATAGCCAGACAGCTTGTTCCGACTGTTATACAAACTCAGATTTCGTTTGAAATTATTACAACATTAAATCCGTTAACACCAAATCCAATTGCAACACCAACAATCCCACCTACTACTACCATTCAAAGTGCTACTACTACCTCAATTATTACTATAGCCGGACCTACTGCTACAAATTCTTTTATAACCACAACTTTGATCGAAACTATTACTACAACGTTGTTTTTAGCCAGTCCTGCTGTTACTGATACTTCAACTGATACTTCAACTGATGATACTTCAACTGATGACACTACAACTGATGATACTAACAACTGATGAGACTACAACCGATCCTGCTACTTCAATTTCGCTTTCAATTCAGACCTAAACAATTGTCGCAACTTCTACGGAAGTTTATGATGTGGGAAAAATCTCAAAAAAAATGTATATTTATTAATTAAATCCATTTTTTTGTTTGTATATTTAATTGAAAGATAATTTACATAATTTTGAACAAATTGGTTATTAACATTAGACATCATTAAATATAACTTATCTTGTTGCATAACATATTTAATTTACTTCACTAAAATTTATTAATAAAATTTCGAGAATGTTACATTTGCTAAGGATTTGTACATATCATAGATAAAAATAAAAATCATTTTGTAAACTTTAATAATAAAAGAATAAAGCAATGTATTCGACAACTTTACAGGGAGGGATAATACTACATCATATGAAAAAATTTTAAACATATCTTCTTAACGAGCCAATTGTCATTATTATTTATAATATCAAGGTATGATATATAGTATCAATTTAATGAGTTTTATTGATGACCAATTTAGATTCAGTTGTTCAAGTCCACAAAGATTTACTTTAACAATCTCATTTGAATCGCTTCATTTGTTTGCACATAATTCAAGTTTATAAAATTTATTGTCTAATAGACATCTTTTTATATCATAATAAAATACAATAATTTCACTAAACATATGGGCTAGGTACTGGAGAAAGGGACCAAATTGACAAAAAATAAATTTTGTGAAAAATTGATTTTTATATTATAAAATCTATATTAACTTATAGAAAAATACAAATTTCAAAAGATTATACTATAAAATTTTATTAATGCACTAGTATTTCTTTCTTAAATGAAAAATGTTCCTGAGCTAATTTTAAACTAGTTAAGCTTAAAAAATTCATTTTGAAAAAATTGTCAATTTGGTCCCTTTCTCCAGCACCTAGCCCATATAATTTCACTAAACGTATAATTTCGAAATCAAGACTCCTTACATAAATTAAAGAAGAAATCCTAATGAATGACAAAATATTAAAATTATGAAAAAAGACGAACTCTTGCAAAAGATAAAATCTCTGACAAAGGTGAATACCGAACTCCAACAAAAACTCAAAACCTTATTAACATATCTAATTTAATATAGTATTTAATTGAGGAAAAAAACATATACTTAAATTAGACAAGTACGGAACACCTATAGTCTTAAACCATGATAAATACCTAGCCAGCTCAGGTTCAATCTAATAAATGAAAAAAACAACTATGACCGAAGCCCCTAACTAATTAAGGTCCGATCTGTATGTAGCCTACATATGGGCGAAAATATCCAGTTGAAACACAGTGATAAGTGATAGCAAGGTGATCAAGTTATATCAGGTTACATACATACAAAAAATCCATAAGTAATCAGGTTACAATCAGGTACATACGTACAGAAATTTATAAATAATCGGGTACATATGCATAAGTAATTAGGTCACATACCGCATACATACAAAAATTTAGAAGTAATTCAGGTACAGATTTATAAGTAAAATTCATAAGCGATTAATAAGCAATTTATTATCGGACTTAAAATTTCTGATTAAAAAATCACTTTAATTCTCAATAATCATGCTATATCACATAAATGTTTGGCCCAAATTTTATTTAACCTTATCACTCACGTAAATAATCACGAAATTGGAGATTTTCGCCCATATGTTTATGGCATTTACGGCATTCAGGTGCTTTGCCGTGTATATGTACGGCATTACGGCATCTGCCGTAATTCAGCAATTACGGCAGCAAC